GGTCTTCTTCTGTGCTGCACATTTCTATGGTTCCATGTAATTAATGTGCAAATTATATTTGCGATGTTTATATATATTTGAAACATATGATCAATCTCATATGAGGGGAGATGGTTGAGACTAGCTTCGAAGACGATCCTTGCTCAAGGAGGAGAAACAAAAGACTGTTTATAAATAACAAACTGTTTCATTCCTTATCAGTCAGTTTCTCATGAAAAAATGGTCAGAAGCTGGAGAGAGAGAGAGAGAGAGCTGTGTTGCATTTGTATTTACAAAGGAACCATCTTGCCAGTAGGTGAAAGTTCACCTATTCAACGGTATAAACGGAGATCGATTCGGAAGAGAAAGAGAGAGAAGGAAGAAATTGGAACTTGGGAGTCACGAACCATATTCCAGTTTCTAAAGAAAGATGAAGACTACATCTTAAACAACTTTAAACGAACAATAGTGCCTGGATACATTTGGGTGATATTGAACTGGGAACCGTATACTTGTATACCTTTTAATTTTGATTAAAATGGACATTAAATTGGACACTGCTCCTCTCTCTCTCCCGCAGCATTTGCTTTGATCAACTTAAATTGTTGTGAACTACAGTATACATGGATACATAAGCAGAATTGGATGTATTCTTTTAATTACTTATAACCATTAATAATGAATTAATAAACCTTGATTAATTGTATAACATTTGTGTCAATCCTTACTTCAATGCAGGGTCATGAAAATAAATGAACCCTTACACAAGGGAGGGAGCGAGGCGAAGGGAAGTTGGATGGAGTTCCAATACAGTTAGCAAACGAGCAAATGGGAAGAATAGGAGACATGTTTCACAAACTAAGATAGGAGATGGAAGGCCCAAGATCTCCCTTTAAAAGAGCCAGCACAGATATGATGGGCTGAATGGCCTTCTTCCGTGCTGTCCATTTCTATGGTTCTATGGAAGTAGCCAAGTCTGACTTAATCCCCTTCACATACCTTCAGTAGTATACTTTGCTATAATACTCTCAGCACAGAACCCAAATCACCTAAGTTTTGCTCCAGCGCAGACTCAATTTGAAGACACTCTTTCAAAATCAAGTACTGTTCATGTATCTTTTTAATATACTTAATTTAATTCAATTTTTCAGGACATCAGATACATTTTAAGACACGTTGCTTTACATTATAATAATCCATTGATTCACGTGTAAGGCTGTTGGTGGCACTTTTCAGATCAGTAACCAGACATTCAGCTTTGATACTTCTCAACACGAGGTTTGTTTATGGAACGGACGTCACAAAGCTTCAATCAAAACCCAATGGGACATAACACACCTTTGCGGAAAACTGCTGACGTGAGTCAGAAGGCAAGCACCACACACCTAGCGTTAAAATACATTGTGAGAAAGGGTTATGTAAAATGTTATGGGAATTTCTGTCTTTTAAGAAAAATAACTAGTGTATTCCATTCGTACATTTTAATGTGACATTGCCAAATAACATTCATTTTTATTTGAAAGTAAAATCACTTTTGCTTTTAGAGAATAAAAATCACAAGAATTTTTCTTTACTCGGAGGACAATCAATGACTGGAACAGGTTGGCAGGAAAGGTGGTTGAGGCCAGGACACTGGGACTCATTTAAAAGCAGCTTCATGCTATGATTGGGTGGTGGGGAAGTAGGGTGGGGTTATTTTGGAAGGATGAGATCGGATGCGCCAAAGGGCCTTCTTCAATGTTAACTGATTTTATGAAAACTGTAGTTTATTTAGCGTTTATTTAGTGTTATTTAGTGGAATGGTATGGAAAGAGATGACTGTCTGAAGCATTCAAAACAAATCACTATTTTCCTACTTTACTGGGATCCAAATAAGACTTAAAAAAAAGTGATTGGATGCTAAAATACAAGCATCCAATATGCACTTAAAATCAAATCTCCTCTCCACTCCTCCAGCCTCCGTTGCTCAGGATCAGCCAGGACTATTCGCCTCTTTGGGTGAGCAGACGAGAAGGAAGATCGTGCAACTTTACTTGACCATGACTGGGCGCTGGGCAGAAGGAGCAAGATTGGATGGAGATGTCAATTTTGTTTTTGGTCAGCCGGGTGTCTGTCACCAGCAGAAACCCTTTACCATTGCTTAAGAGTATCCAAACCAGACAGAATCCCATCTATGTATGCCACATTGATTTTTACATCAAAGTAGCAGACCACGTTGCCTTGTTAGAATATGCACAAGCATTGCAAACAGCAACAGAAATGAAATTTAAACATTGATTATAATAATAAAATTTGGGAAAGATGTAGTATATTTACTCATTTATGGCTGAATCTTTGAAACAATCTGGTTTCTGACTTCCTTTAGACTAAAGCGAGGTTACTACTGGTCTCAAAGGGCTTTGGTAATCCTGAATCACAGTTCATCTGAAAGGCTGGTTAGCATTGAATTTGTTGGGTTATTAGAAGCTGACAGTACGGTCAAGGATATCAGCGTAACCTTCAGATATGGCCATGCACCGGTGGATTTGAAACAAGGCAATTCTGCTACAAGTCTGTCAGAAAGGAATCTCTATCACCACATCTGGGGATACTAAGACAGATGTATTGGGACAGGGGAAAGAGAAAGAGATCCTTTGTTCCTCCGCTCCCATTTCCCCCCACCCCACATATCAAACATATGAAATGTGCTGCTCCAAAATGAAGTTCTTCAGAGCATTCTACTGTAACTAAATGTGGTCTATTGTTTCCAACAACTTGCCTTTATATATATATATATAGCTCATTTCACCACAGGATAGAGTCCTGGAGCATTTATTATATTTGATACATGTCTACATTGCCATTCTAATCTTACATGAACATACATCATTTACCAATCATTTAGTGCAATAATTTCATGATTACTGGGTTCCGGTTTATTCTATTTTAAACGTATTAAATTATTCTCTTTCACAAGAATCCACTTCAAGGAGAAAGAGTACATTGATTTTACAATACTTACATTTGATATAGCGCTTTTCAGGTTGGTGGGACATCTTAAAGCACTTCACAGGATTTAATGTAAAGAGACTGTATTTCGTTTGCAGATTTGGGCATAGCAATGAAGTGAGTGACCAATTTTTATCATGGGGGTGGGGTGGGGGGGGGGAGATTTGTTGGCCATTCTTCCCTCCTCTATTCAAAAGGAGCCTTTGCAAACTTTTGCTGACAAGCCACAAGACTTGTTGGGAATGAACAAGAGAACAAAGAGAGGTGAGAAGGTTTGTACAGACAGCAAAATGGTCAAACTAAAATGTTTGAAACTGGTTGAAATCGTTCTCGGCCAGTTTCACTTTTCTTCACTGTCACCTCATTTTTTTTTGTTGGTCCAATGGTCATGGCATAGACAAGCACAAACAAACCGTGTTACGGTCAGAATAACCCTGCGCTGTGACTGTCTGATCTTATCTTACAATCAAACAAAACTTTCTACTGTAATAACTCATTGAATTGGTTATGAAACAGCAGATAATTTACACTCCCCTCGCCCATATCTCTAACTATATCATTGAGCAACAAAATAGTGCAATTATTGCTCGGTACAATTATCACTGAGTTCTCAATATCGCGGGGAGTGGTTTGGGAGGAAACTGAGTTAATTTTTAAGTATTGATTATTATTAATAATATTTACACTGGATATAGGGTCTTGAGTGTTGAGAGGATGTCTCAACATGCTTCCTGGGATTCACTGTCAAGTGTAGTGATGTGTGGGATGTGAGGAAGGTACTAGAGGGAAGCCGTCTCCCTTAGACCCATGCAACCTCAGGGTCGAGAGGACATTTAAAAACGCTTCACGAGATTCACTGTCACGTGTAGTAACTGTGTGTTCTTGGAGGCATATGTAAAGCCAATGACATCTTGAACACATAAACTGGCCTTCCTGGTTCAGTTATTAACTGAGAATTAAACAAGCCACAATTAGAGAGGTCAGTGCAGGAATAAATTGGCGGAGGATTGATTCTATGAGAAACAGGTTTTTGCTTGTTTTATTTCTCTCCTCACTGGGGTGAGTGCGGGTCTACAGCAAACGGTTTCCTTCTGGTATCTCTCTCACTGACCATCCTTGATCATTCACTTCACAGCTGTTTGTGGAGTATCACTATGCTGCAGTGAGACACAGTCGCTACACTTTGCCGTAAAATCCTGTGAAGTTCTTTGAGACATTGTGGACCTGATTGTGGCACTATATTAAATGCAAAGATTATTCATTGTATTTTTATTCTGCACACATCTGCCCAGGCAGTGAGCACCAGTTGGTCATTCCAAGGCAGATCCTGACCTCCCTTCATGACCACACATGCACAGTAACAATGATCAGAGAGCTTGCTTGCTTTCTCCCACCTTCCCATGGGACATTGCTGTGTCAGATGGGTCAGGCTACAAATACAGTCACTACAATTTACAGCAAATCTTGCCATGAAAGGCACCATGTCTATTACAAAGATTATTATTGTATTCACCCTAGCCCTCGAGTCAATTGTGGCAGTCTTACCCGGCTTAGCTCTCCTAATTCAATTGAACTCAGTTAAGCTCACAGCTTGCTGGTCTATATGGCTCAGTGCTGCAATTGGCAGTGCTTTTCCCCACGGGGAAGGAGAAAGAATGCTAAAGTATCTTTATTTTAGGGCATGTGGAATATTTTAAACTCTGGAACAACCAAATCCAGCAATCCGTTTAAGGAAAATAAAGCATTTATTTGCACGGTTTGGATTTGCTTGTCCGAATATTTCATTATTGAAGTTCCAATTGGTTATAATACGGGCAATTAACAGAAACAAATCAAAGCGTTTCGCAGGATTTACTGTGAAGTGTAGTGACTGTATTTGCAGACAAACACGACAACAATATCCCAGACTGCCATGAAATGAACAACCACTTTTATCTGAGGGACTGTTGGCGATGACGCCAGGAAAATTCCCTTCTTTTTTTTTTTGAGTCATGTCACGGGATTAACAACGTCCACCTGAACAGGCAGACGGGACCTCGGTTTAACAGCTCATCTGAAGGACGGCATCTCTGACAATACAGCGAAAACTTAGCACTGCATCATCCACCTAGGTTCGATGCATTTGGGAAGATCCTCAGTGATCAGGTTAGATGGAAACAGGGTATGACGACAAAATAAAGGCACGAAAATGCATAGGTTCCTGAACAGCTTAAAAATAAAACAACTCTGGTTTGAAGCCCGTGGCTTTGCAGTTTGAATGCTTTGGGACTAAGCCACAATTGACATTCTGTAGGTCAAAGACTTATCAAGCATTTCCTATCTTGTCCTTCACCACACGAGCTCACGCTCAGTTCAAAAGTGGTTTCAGGAGCTGCATTTTTGTTCTGACTTTTAACGAAACAAAAAACAGAAAGAGCTTCCCTCAACTGAGCACTGAGCAAAACCCAACAAACCAAAAAAAAGACTTCCAGCCCCCACCCCACCCCCCCTCTGCCCATTTCCCCCAACCTCAGGTAAATTGTCAAATACCAAACAATAAAAATTATCAAAATGACAAAGAGGATCTCCCCGCTCAGCTTCAAACGATCCCCGTGCCTGTGAGGTACGTGCCAGCCTCCAACATCAGTGCCTTTGTGTAGACCACCAGGGTGTAGTAGAGGGTGAGGAAATCTTGCGTGCTGAAGATTGTGTCGGACAGTGCAAACCCCAACATGGACGGAATAAACCCACGTCCGTACTCCACCATCCAGGTTCCTGAGCTCCAGCGAACGGACGTGGCCTCGCCCATGGAATGGACGATAGTGTCGCCTGCGGAAATTACAGAAACAAATAGCTCAGTGGAGTCCTGTAGCTCAGTAGCTAGAACATTCGCCTCGCAAGCGAGAGGAGCTGGGTTGGATTCCCGGGCAGGGCGAAACATTGGGCAAGTTTCCTGACTCCACCCACCTCTGTTTAATAGTAATAAAACCTAATAATGAAGGGCCCCGTTCTAGGCACTCAGGAGCAAGGATTGTTATTTGCTATAATAATAATAATCCTTGCATTTGATATAGCGTTTTATCACGTCTTCGAGACATCTCAAAGTGCTTCACAGAATATACTGTAAAGTGAATTGACTGTATTGTGCGAGAAATGTGGCAGCCAATTGTGCACAGCAGTGTCCCCACAAACAGTCGTGGTTCTGTTTACCTAGTAGTAAGAAGGAACCCAGTTGTTATTCGACTGGCAGATCGCTTTTTCGAGGGTTTAATACCACACCGCCCCAGAAAAAAAAAAAAAAAAAAATTTGGTCACTTAATCCACGACTGCTTGTGGGACACTGCTCTGGGCAATTGGCTGTCAAGTTTCGCCCAGATAACATACAGTCACCACACTTGGAGTCCTGTAGCTCAGTGGTTAGAGCACTCGCTTTGCAAGCAAAGCGACCGGAGTTCAATTCCAGGCAGAGGGCGAAACTTTGGGCAAGTTTCCTTACTCCACACGGAGCCTAATAATAATCCCTCCAAAACAAAACAATAATAAATTGGTCATTTTCAATCCATGACTGTTTGTGGGACACTGCTGTGCACAATTGGCTGCCGCGTTTGCCCACAAATATACAGTGAATTCACTTTACAGTATATTCTGTGAAGCGCTTTGGGACGTCTAGAAGACGTGAAAAGCGGTATATCAAATGCAAGGATTATTATTATTATTATTCAGTATATTCTGTGAAGTGCTTTGAGACTCCTCGAAGATGCAATAAGGTGCTATATCAAATGCAACGATTATTATTATTATAATAATAAAAAAAAGGAAATAAGAATCCTCGTGCCTGATTGCTTAGAATGGGGGGGCCCTCCAGCGGGTCGATTGCAGTTAGGTGACACTCTCTTGCGCATGATCAAAAATTCAAAAGGAAGGAGTGATAGAACCGTGTTGTGATTCAAGTCCAATTGATAATGAAGGCAGACACACAAAGTATTTCATGCATCTCGAAATAAAAATATAAACTTTAATATTTAAACTGCAGTCCATGTTGCTCCTTCCTCTTGTTTTTATTGAGCGTGCACAAACTAATCAACCGGCCTAGAAAGTCAAACGTCTTCGCAGATAATTGCTGTTAAGGGTAGTGACTGTTTATTTGCAGGTGAATGTAGCAGCCAAGCCAATTTTTGCACAACTATTCACATATCAAACCCTCTGTCAGGTTCCGGTTGGATATAGATTTGGCCGGGTGGGGGAAGATAACCGAAGGCACGGTTGAAAAGGAATGTCTTGAGATGGGCCTTGAAGGGAAGAAGCAAGGCTGAGGGGCTCCAGGATGGAGTGCCAGAGGGTGAGGGCAGAAAGGTTGAAGGCCTGACTGACAATAATAGAGCAGGCAGGGCAGGGGACTTAGAGCAGGCCAGTGCCTGTAGAGTGGAAGGAGAGCCAGGTTGGTGAAGTTTTAACAGGTCGCAATGATGGGGTGGAGAAAGACTGTGGAGGGCTTTAAAGGCGAGAGCGAGGATCTTGAACTCGATCCTCTGAGGCACGGGGAGCCAGTGAAGCCAGACGAGAATGGGGTAATCAGCTCAATGAGGTTAGTGCGGGAAAGGAAACTTCGGAAACATAGGCACACACTGACCTGGATAAAATATTTCACTTTTAGTCGTCCCTTCTTTCCACTGCTGAAAGGTTCCCGATATAACAGTGTCAGACACTTCAGCCCAATACCGACCTATGATTTCCAACAAACACAATTCACAGAGTTAGACCGACATGTGAGATCATGCTTACTTTTTACTGACCCACAAATTATCTTCAAAAGTATTACTAAACAATAAGCCTTTCACGTCGGGAGGACTCTTCAAAGTGCTTCACAGAATTTTACTGTTCCATGTGTATTCTGTGGACAAATGCAGTCCCAATTTGTGCACAGCAATGTCCTGCAACAAGCCATGGAGTGAATAATCAATTTTATTTGGGGGATTGGACACTGGAAGAAACTCCCTTCTCTTATCAAATAGCACCACTGGATCCTTAATGTGGAGTCCTGTAGCTCAGTGGTTAGAGCACTCGCTTTGCAAGCGAGACACCTGGGTTCAATTCCAGGCAGAGGGCGAAACCTTGGGCAAGTTTCCTTACTCCACACAGAGCCTAATAATAATCCCTCCAAAAACAATAATAAATTGGTCATTTTCAATCTACGACTGTTTGTGGGACATTGTTGTGCGCAATTGGCTGCCACGTTCGCCCACAAATATACAGTCAATTCACTTTACAGTGTGTTCTGTGAAGCGCTTTGGGACATCCTCCGGACGTGAAAAGCGCTATATCAAATGCAAGGATTATTATTATTATTAATGTCCAGCTGAACAGGCAGAAAGGCACGAGACGTCTCACCTGAAGGACGGCAAGTCTAGCGATACAGCAAACACTGTATTGGAGCATTAGCCTAAAAACCAGATCTGAAAAGAACATGCTTTAATTATATTAAGTCCTGACATGGGACTTGAACTCGCGTCCCTTGAACATGCGTCACTTGAACTAGGCAATTCTATCTCAGAGGCGAGAATGCTACCAACGTAGCCAGACTGACACAGAAGATCTTTCTTTTAAAAAATTAAGAACACTATCCAGTTATCAAGGATCCTTTATACGTGGGAAACGAGTTGCAGAGTTTTGTCCAGGTCTGGTACCTCCATCAGCTCAAACAGGACTGAAATAACCGAACAAATGACAGTGGGAAGCAATGCATCAGGAAACGATGGAGCTGATTCAACAGTGTCAGTTTATAGACAAGACAGTTCACTTCATTTGGCAGTAAGTTATTTCCTGGCCAATCCTCTAAATACTTTAGTGGAACCTTAGTTTGACAAAACACCTGTCACACTTGCCTACATATCACTACACTTGGCAGCAATTACCTATGAATTGCTTTGACATATTTCAATGTTTTATAGGGTTACAAGCCATTTGGCCCAACTAGTCCATTCCGGTGTTTATACTCCATCCCTTCCAATCTCCCCTTTATGTATGCCTTATGTTTTCTCTTCAGTGACTGTTTGCACTGCACGGCAAGGGATATGGGGATAGGGCAGGTAAGTGGAAATAGGTTAGAAGATCAGCCATGATCGTATTAAATGGTGGGGCAGGCTCGAGGGGCCGAATGGCCTACTCCTGCTCCTATGTCTTATGGTCTTAAATTCCCTATGGGATCTACCACTGACCACTTTATATTTGTATAATATATACAAATGGAAATATATACAAATATATATACAAATATACAAATATATACAAATGCTCTATAAATGGAATCTTGTTGTCTTGTTGTTGTTGTTGTATCCTCTAATTTTGGACTCACTAACAAATGGAAACAGCTCATTAATGTCCACTTCATCAAATCCTTTTAGAATCTTAAATACCTCAATTATCTCCCCTCACAATCAACTCAACCTACATTTATAGAGAATCCTTCACATCAAGACATCTCAAAACTCAAAAGTCATAGCTATTTATGTGAAGCGTTTTCAATGATAACCAAAATTATGATCGACAAGATAGTTCTTAAGATTGCAATATTAAACGTAAGGATTATTATAATGAGCACTCCTCGACTGATGCACAATTGCAGAATGATAAACACAGGGCAGGGAAGAACAACAGCTTTTTTTNAATGCTAATAAGAGTTTTAATTTAATTAAGAATTCTGTCTGCTGGAGGCTGAGACAGTGCCACCTTCTGATAGAGCTTCTTTGTCTCTGGAGAATAAGAGGAAACAGCAGATCCTGGCACCAGCAGAGTCTTTGGCAGGAAGTTAATTTGCATTGGAGATAAAGAGAGAGGAAACAAACAGCGTAGAAAGGGAATGATAGCCTGCAGAGAGGGAACCTGAAGTGAAGAGACCGATTCAAAGTATGTTAGCACGTTAACAACTTAACATTCTGTACATTGTACCTTTCACATAGGACGAATGTCTCAAAGCACAGGTGCTAAACAAAGACGTGGTCAAGTTTGTCGGAGGGGGGGTGTTGAAAGCAGGAAAAGATGAAGACATTTTGGAAGAATTACAACAACATTACTGGCATTTACTATATATAGTGCCTTTCATATGGGTTAGCGTCTCTGAAAGTGTGAATTATTAATACTTTGTATACATAGATGTACACATGAGGGAGAAGGGAATAGAAGGCAGGGAGTAAGGAACTGATGGAGACTCATTGAGTATAAACACTGGCATAGACTTGTTGGGCCGAATGGCCCATTTCTGTGCTGTCCAGCACCCTGGGACGTTTTCCAGACGTGAAAGGCACTATACAAATGTAATTTTGTATTGTATATTCTATGGGGGATTCACAACAACAAGTTGGATTTACATATAGTGCCTTTCAGGGAGTTCCAGGATTTGGGGCACAGCAGCTGATAGCTGAGCCATCGATGGTAGGAGATCGCATCAACCACGGCAACAAAATTACACTTGTGAAGTGCCTTTCACGTCGGGAGGACGTCCCAAGGTCCTGGACAGACAGAATTACGGACCCGAGCTGTCGATAGTGGGGCGAGCGAGGCGGGGGACGCGAAGCGGGCTGGAGAACATATTAACGAGAGATCCAAGAAAAGTGTTGCCGCTCGGCATCTCATCGTGTGAAAAGCGCTGTATCAAATGCAAGGATTATTATCGTTGTGGTCATTATTATCCTCTCGCCCTCTGTGGACGCACTGGGGATGAAGACACGAGAGCTGATTACTCTTATTTACAGGGGGGGAAAAAAAAACTTAACGGCAGTGGAAACACTTTGTCGCTGCTTTACCGCTGGGGTGGAAGGACTGAAGCAGATCGGTGACCTGCGGCTCCATGGCTCTCCTCGCTCTGACTCCAGGCTCGGGGCTGATTCATTCACTCCAGGCTATTGGCTGCTCAGTCCCGTGAAACATCATCTGATGCAAAACAAAACAACTCCACTGGTTGCATTTCATTTTCATTCTTGACAGCATTTACGTACATAGAGAGAGAGAGAGACACACACACACACAAATAAATAGAGCAAAGCAAGGTCATTGCATGGCTTTTATTCGCTTCTCTCTAAATGTTCGCCTGGAGATTCTGTTCAGAGAGATTTCTTAATGTATCTTCAGACCGACTGTATTAACTGTACCCTTGAAACCCTGTCGCCATCGATAAGTCCGTGTTTTAAGATTGGTTCCATTATTATAGGCATGTTTTCTTTCTTACTTATTGTGTCGGGGCATATAATCCACCCCCCCACCCCATCCCTCCCTCCCCACCCCCACCCAAAGCCTAAAGTCTGTTATAATAATTCTTACACGTGTTATCGCGTCTTCCGCACGGGGAGGACGTCTCAGAGCGCTTGGCGGGATATGCTGAAAGGCGAATCGAGGCCGTGTCCCCACAAACAGCGACCAAATTATTATTATTATTATTATTATTTTTCGTGGGGGAAGGAACTATTATCCCCAGTAAAGCGCTGCACGGATCGACTAACAACCGGGTTCCCGCTCTCGCCGCCGGGTAAACAGAGGCGGGTGGAGTAAGGGGACGTGTCTGAGGTCCCGCCCGCCCGCCCGCCCGCGGGACGTCCTCTCGCTCGCGAGCCGAGCGCTCCAACCACTAAGGCGCCCAATTGCGAAGCTCCACGATATCACCGGATCACCCCGGTCCCCATTGCAACCCCCGTGTCATCCCCAACCCCATATTTTCCCCATCCCCCCCCCACCCCATATGTCATGTCAAGTCATGTCATCTCATCCCCACGTGACCCCCCCCCCCTTGAGCACCATCGCCTCTGCTCTGCCCTCTCAACACCGCTCAGCAGCCAACGAGGTGGCCAACCACCGCAGGGCGAGCAGCCGGTCGGCCCGTTCAGCGGCCGCGCTCTCAACCGAACGCAGTGGGGGAGGCGGGACCAGGGCAACGTCCGCCGGGCGTCGATTGGTGCAGCGGCGGCGGCCGCGACTGCCGATTGGCGGACAGCGGCGGTCAGTCAGTCTCAGTCGGTCAGTCGATTCGCTCGGTCAAGTGGGAGGGGCGGGGCCGTCAGGTTAGGTTGACGCGAGCGCGTGCGGACGGCGGCGGCTCGAGCTGAGGCCGAGAGCAGCGGAGAATCCCGGGGTGTGGGGCCGAGGCGAGGCCGCTGTTGCCCGGGGGTGGGCGTGGGGGCGATGGCGCTGCTGGTCCGGGCCCTCGCTGGGGCCTGTGCGGCGGCGCTCGCGGTGCTGCTGATCCGCTTCTGGCTGAGCAGCAAACACTACGTGATGAGCGGCACCGAGGTGGCCGGACTGGCGAAACAGTATGCAGGTAACTGGGGGCTGAGGGGTGGCCTTCCCCCACTGACCGACCCCCTCCCTCCCCCCCACTGACCGACCCCCTCCCTCCCCCCACTGACCGACCCCCTCCCTCCCCCCACTGACCGACCCCCTCCCCCCCCCACTGACCGACCCCCCCTCCCCCCCACTGACCGACCCCCCCCCCCCCACTGACCGACCCCCTCCCTCCCCCCCACTGACCGACCCCCTCCCACTGACCGACCCCCTCCCACTGACCGACCCCTCCCTCCCCCCCACTGACCGACCCCCTCCCCCCCCACTGACCGACCCCCTCCCACTGACCGACCCCCTCCCACTGACCGACCCCCTCCCTCCCCCCCACTGACCGACCTCCTCCCCCCCCCCACTGACCGACCCCTCCCTCCCCCACTGACCGCCCCCCCCCCACTGGGACCCTGCCCCCCCCCCTCCACTGGGACCCTGCCCCCCCCCCACTGGGACCTGCCCCCCCCCCACTGGACCCTGCCCCCCCCCCCACTGGGACCCTGCCCCACTGGGACCCGCCCCCCCCCCACTGGACCGCTGCCCCCCCCCACTGGGACTGCCCCCCCCACTGGGACCCTGCCCCCCCCCACTGGGACCCTGCCCCCCCCCCCACTGGGACCCTGCCCCCCCCTTGCCCACTGGGACCCTTCCCCCCCCACTGGGACCCTGCCCCCCCCCACTGGGACCCTGCCCCCCCACTGGGACCCTGCCCCCCCCTTCCCACTGGGACCCTCCCCCCCCCCACTGGACCCTGCCCCCCCCCCACTGGGACCCCTCCCCCCCCCCCCCACTGGACCCCTGCCCCCCCACTGGGACCCTGCCCCCCCCCACTGGGACCTGCCCCCCCACTGGGACCCTGCCCCCCCCGGGACCCTGCCCCCCCCCACTGGGACCCGCCCCCCCCCCACTGGGACCCTGCCCCCCCCCCACTGGACCTGCCCCCCCCCCCCCCACTGGGACCGCCCCCCCCCCCACTGGGACCCTGCCCCCCCCCACTGGGACCCTGCCCCCCCCCCCACTGGGACCCCTGCCCCCCCCCCCACTGGGACCCTGCCCCCCCCCCTGGGACCCCCTGCCCCCCCACTGGGACCCTGCCCCCCCCCCCACTGGGACCCTGCCCCCCCCCCCACTGGGACCCTGCCCCCCCCCCACTGGGACCCTGCCCCTCCCCCCCCCACTGGGACCTGCCCCCCCCCCCCCCACTGGACCCTCCCACTGTGCCCCCCCCCCCCCACTGGACCTGCCCCCCCACTGGGACCCCCCCCCCCCCCCCTGGACCCTGCCCCCCCACTGGGACCTGCCCCCCCCACTGGGACCCTGCCCCCCCCCCCACTGGGCCCTGCCCCCCCCCCCCCCCATGGGACCCCCCCCCCCACTGGGCCCCCCACTGTGGCCCCCCCCCACTGTGGCCCCCCCACTGTGGCCCCCCCCCCACTGTGGCCCCCCCCCCACTGGGCCCCCCCCCCGTGCCCCCCCCCCCCCCACTGGTGCCCCCCCCCCACTGTGCCCCCCCCCCACTGTGCCCCCCCCCTGTGCCCCCCCCCCCCACTGTGCCCCCACCTGTGCCCCCCCACTGTGCCCCCCCCCACTGTGCCCCCCCCACTGTGGCCCCCCCCCCCCACTGTGGCCCCCCCCCCCACTGTGGCCCCCCCCCACTGTGGCCCCCCCCCCCCACTGTGGCCCCCCCCACTGTGGCCCCCCCCACTGTGCCCCCCCCCCACTGTGGCCCCCCCCCCCCACTGTGGCCCCCCCACTGTGCCCCCCCCCCCCACTGTGCCCCCCCCCCACTGTGCCCCCCCCCCCACTGTGCCCCCCCACTGTGCCCCCCCCTGTGCCCCCCCCCCACTGTGCCCCCCCCCCATCCCCCCCCCTGTGCCCCCCCCCCTCTGTGGCCCCCCCCCCCCCACTGTGCCCCCCCCCACTGTGGCCCCCCCCCCCACTGTGGCCCCCCACAGTAACTGACCCCCTCCTCTCCCCCTTCTCTTCCCCCCCTCCCACACACACACACACTAACCCTAACTGGGAGCTCGGAGTATTAATAATAATAATCCTTGTATTTGATGTCGCGCTTTATCACGTCGTTGAGACGTCTCAAAGCGCTTCACAGGATTTACTGTAAAGTGAATTGACTATAATTTTGTGCGCAATTACAGTCATAAATGATGATAAATTGTTCACTTCAATCCACGACTGTTTGTGGGAAACCACTGCGCGCAATTGGCTGCTGCGTTTCGCCCACAACTATACAATCAATTCACTGCAGTATATTCTGTGAAGCGCGTTTAGGACGTCTCGATGACGTGATAAAGTGCTATATCAAATGCAGGGATGATTATTATTATAATAGAGTTGGCTCCCAGAAGGGTAAGACTGTAGCAGTCGCTAACAAATACACAGTCACTCCACTTTACACTGAATCCTGTGAAGCACTTTGGGACGTTCTCCTGACGTGAAAGGCGCTCTGCAAAATGCAAGAATTCATTAATTTTGTGTAATACCAGAATACTTGCATTTGATATAGTACCTTAATGCGCTGTGGAGAAATCTCTCGAGATTTCAGTCTGAACTGTTGTTTGTGACTGTTTGCTCACCCCTCGTCAGCCTTCCCAGCTATTGCTTCCACAAGCTGCAGATCATGCAGAACTCTGCAACGAGTGTCCTCTCCTGCACCAGGCTCTGTGACCCGATCACCCCCGTCCTCACCCGGCTCCACTGGCTCCCCCTCCCCCAGAGGATTGAGTTCAAAGTATTCATCCTCTCCTTCAAAGCCCTCCACGGCCTTGTTCCTCCCTACCTCTGTGACCTGCTATCTCCAGAGAGACCAGTCCGCTTCCTCCGCTCAGCGGACTCCGGGCTGCTCCATGTACCCCACCCAGCCCGCTCTCCCATCGGCGATCAGGCCTTCAGCCTCTCTGCCCCCACCCTCTAGAACTCCATCCCCCAGTCCCTTCGCTTTGATCTGTCCCTTACCTCCTTCGAGGCTCCTCTCAAGTCCTTCTTCAACTACATCTTTGGTCACCCTCCTACCCCTTCACTCCATCCTTCCTGGTCCCAATCTCCAGTTCGGGTTCAAATCCCTGAACTGTCCAGCGCTTTGCAATATCCTCCTGACAAGAAAGATGCTATAAAATGTAATTTGTTGTTGACTAGCGCCCTGGGATCTTTAAGACCCCTGTTTTCCCTTCTGTTTGCATGCCTCCACACTCTTTGTTGCCTTAAATTCAATGTATGTACTTGCTGTATTACCCAGTCAAAAGCCATCCTGAAAAATTCCAAGTGTTTTATGTCAACTTGTGGAGGGAAGCTTGTGTATAATAATAATAATAATAACTTGCATTTGATATTGCGCATTATCATGTATTCGAGACATCTCAAAGTGCTTCACAGGATGTACCGTGAAATGTAGTGACCGAGCCACAAGACCACGGTTCTCCTGATTGGCTCCTGTCAGCGCCTTCTCACCTCAGGCGCTGACAGCATCACCATCCATGGTTGCACCCTCCACCTCGCTAAGCCAGTCCAGAACCTTGGGTCTTGTTTGACCCTCAACTATCCTTTCTACCCCACATCTGCCCCATGACCCGCTCTGCCTTCCCCCACCTCCGCAATGTTGCCCGGCTCCGACAACTCACACTACAGGCCGCTGAAACACTCATACACGCCTTCATTACATCGAGGCTCGACTATGCAAACTCACTGCTTGTCGGCCTCCCCAACTCCTCTGTGCATAGGCTGCAGATCATCCAGAACTCTGCAGCCCATGTCCTCTCCCGCACCAGGCTCCGCGACCTTATCATCCCTATCCACGCCCAACTCCACTGGCTTCCCATCACACAGAGGATACAATTCAAGATCCTGGTCCTCACCTTCAAAGCCCTCCATGGTCTTGCTCCCCACTACTTCTCTGACCTCCTAACCTGCTATCACCCTGTTTGCTCCCTCCGCTCAGCGGGCTCTGGCCTGCTTCACTTCCCCCACCTTGCTCGCCCGACTATCGGCGGGTGGGCTTTCTGCCACTCTGCATCCACCCTCTGGAAGTCCATCCCCCAGTCCCTCCGTCTCGCCCCCTCCCTCGCCACCTTCAAGACCGTCCTCTTCGACCGTGCTTTCGATCTCCCTGCTTCCCCGGCCCCCTCCCCCAACCTTACCCTTAGCTCAGGTCCGTAACTGTCTGTCCAGCGCCTTGGGATGTATGTAATGTAATTTTGTTGTATGTTTTTGTGGGCGAAACGCAGCAGCCAATTGCACAGTAGTGTCCCACAAACAATTGTGGAGCGAGCGACCAAATTTACTTGGGGGATTATCGGCCAGGACACAGGGAGTGAGAGAGAGAGTATAATCTTGTCAGTAAGACTGAGGTGACATTGAGTAGAATGAGATATGTGACAATGGTTTGAGATGTGGCAGATGTTAAATGCCACACTCGCAGCCTCAAGGTGTGATCAGTCTTCTTTTCATAACTTTCCGTGATGACTGCATTGTGCAGCTCTGTGAAGCCATAATTGGTAACGTTCCTCATGCAACATTCATTGGGTGTTGAGTGTGCTGAATTGGCTGCAATGCTTCCATAGTTTGTGGTGCGTTTAATAGATTGTAACAGCCCCCAAGGTTTAGACTGGGCATAATAGGCTGCAGCATCCCCGGGGTTTAGAATTTGTTAGACATTCTGTAACACGCCCAGAGTTTAAAATTTGCTTTATACCCAGTATTATACCCTGTTTTTAGCGATATGCTATCAAGGTCTTTGATGCACCTGTTGCACAGACTGTAGTTAATAATAATCCTTGCGTTTGATATAGCCCCTTATAATAATTATAATAATCCTTGCATTTGATATAGTGCCTTATCACATCTTTGAGATGTCTCAAAGCGCTTCACAGAATATATTGTGAGGAGTGACAGTGTATTTTGTGGGTGAAACAGGGTAGCCAGTTGCACACAGCAGTGTCCCACAAACAGTCGTGGATTGAGTAACAATTTTTTTTAGAGGGATTATTACCCCAGAAAGCGATCAACCAATCAACTAACAGTGGAGCAAGGAAATCTGCTTAATATACTCAAGGTTTCCAGTGATTTCCAGGAGTGCAAGAGCAAAACTCAGGTCTTTAGTTAGTCAATAAAACCGGAGGGTCATGTTGAAACCATCAATAACAGTGTCATTTCTAATATGAGTGGTTTCTGAATTTACGTGTGTACTATATGTGTGTTATACACGTACAGTGTATGTCTGTTCCACTCCCCCTGAAAGCCGCTGTCATCACACACCACCTCAAAAAAACCCACCCTCGATCCCTCTAATCTCTCACACTACCATCCCAACCTTCCCTTCCTTGCCAAAGTCCTGGAACGCATCGTTGCAGGTCAACTTCGGTCACACGTCCACTCCCTCCTCGAGCCCCTGCAGTCTGGTTTTCGCCCTGCCCACAGCATAGAGACAGCGCTTGTTAAAGTCACAAACGAATAGTACATAATACATCTGGACTTTTTTTTGCCGAGTCATCAAATTAGAGGCCAGAGAACACAAATGACTTCATCTTTTAGCAACTTCATCCTGTGGAACCTTGAAGTTCTATGTTGAAGAGAATCTCACTGAATGTTGTAGCGTGGAAACAGGACATTCAGCCCAACTCATCTGTAAGGCTATTTATATTCTACATGAATTTCCAGACTTCAGCAGTTTCCCCAGGGCACACTGGACTCTCCCCAAGCCAGCTAACCTTGCTAACCTGCACCTAATATTTTCCGATATCAGGTGAGCAGGATGCATCTCTTGGGAGAAAGGCACCCATACATACTACAGTGTATAGGTACTCACAAAGAGCCGGGATTAGGATTAGAGTAGTTAGCTCCAGTGAATGAGCGAGCACCAGTTCAGGTTTGTTGGGCCGAACAGCCTGTTGGTTGGTGTATTGCATGGGATTCTGTATGCACAGGTGGAAACGGTAATGGTGGAGTCTTAAGTATGGCCATTATCACACCGTGTATTTCAGGTCTGGATCACGAGCAGGCGTTCACAAAGGTGGTGGTGGAGCTGAGAAAGAAGTACCCCGGCCACATTCTCCCTGACGAGGACCTGCAGTGGATCTTTGTCAACGCTGGGGGGTGGATGGGCTCCATGTGCCTCCTACACGCGTCCTTGACTGAATACGTGCTGCTCTTCGGGACCGCGGTGGATACCGGGGGGCATTCAGGTACAGTTTGATTCTTTACAGAGCCGCGCTCGCTACACATAATCAGGCACTACACTTTATAGTGCATCCATGAAGCACATTGAGATGCTTCCATGTCCCAATGAGGTGCAGTATTAAATACAAGGATGATCTTCACATCCTCATCCCATCCACTCCACCATCGATGGCTCAGCTATCAGCTGCTGTGCCCCAAATCCTGGAACTCCCTGAAAGGCACTATATGTAAATCCAACTTGTTGTTGTGAATCCCCCATAGAATATACAATACAAAATTACATTTGTATAGTGCCTTTCACGTCTGGAAAACGTCCCAGGGTGCTGGACAGCACAGAAATGGGCCATTCGGCCCAACAAGTCTATGCCAGTGTTTATACTCAATGAGTCTCCATCAGTTCCTTACTCCCTGCCTTCTATTCCCTTCTCCCTCATGTGTACATCTATGTATACAAAGTATTAATAATTCACACTTTCAGAGACGCTAACCCATATGAAAGGCACTATATATAGTAAATGCCAGTAATGTTGTTGTAATTCTTCCAAAATGTCTTCATCTTTTCCTGCTTTCAACACCCCCCCTCCGACAAACTTGACCACGTCTTTGTTTAGCACCTGTGCTTTGAGACATTCGTCCTATGTGAAAGGTACAATGTACAGAATGTTAAGTTGTTAACGTGCTAACATACTTTGAATCGGTCTCTTCACTTCAGGTTCCCTCTCTGCAGGCTATCATTCCCTTTCTACGCTGTTTGTTTCCTCTCTCTTTATCTCCAATGCAAATTAACTTCCTGCCAAAGACTCTGCTGGTGCCAGGATCTGCTGTTTCCTCTTATTCTCCAGAGACAAAGAAGCTCTATCAGAAGGTGGCACTGTCTCAGCCTCCAGCAGACAGAATTCTTAATTAAATTAAAACTCTTATTAGCATTAAAAAAAAAGCTGTTGTTCTTCCCTGCCCTGTGTTTATCATTCTGCAATTGTGCATCAGTCGAGGAGTGCTCATTATAATAATCCTTACGTTTAATATTGCAATCTTAAGAACTATCTTGTCGATCATAATTTTGGTTATCATTGAAAACGCTTCACATAAATAGCTATGACTTTTGAGTTTTGAGATGTCTTGATGTGAAGGATTCTCTATAAATGTAGGTTGAGTTGATTGTGAGGGGAGATAATTGAGGTATTTAAGATTCTAAAAGGATTTGATGAAGTGGACATTAATGAGCTGTTTCCATTTGTTAGTGAGTCCAAAATTAGAGGATACAACAACAACAACAAGACAACAAGATTCCATTTATAGAGCATTTGTATATATTTGTATATTTGTATATATATTTGTATATATTTCCATTTGTATATATTATACAAATATAAAGTGGTCAGTGGTAGATCCATAGGGAATTTAAGACCATAAGACATAGGAGCAGGAGTAGGCCATTCGGCCCTCGAGCCTGCCCCACCATTTAATACGATCGGCTGATCTTCTAACCTATTTCCACTTACCTGCCCTATCCTCATATCCCTTGCCGTGCAGTGCAAACAGTCACTGAAGAGAAAACATAAGGCATACATAAAGGGGAGATTGGAAGGGATGGAGTATAAACACCGGAATGGACTAGTTGGGCCAAATGGCTTGTAACCCTATAAAACATTGAAATATGTCAAAGCAATTCATAGGTAATTGCTGCCAAGTGTAGTGATATGTAGGCAAGTGTGACAGGTGTTTTGTCAAACTAAGGTTCCACTAAAGTATTTAGAGGATTGGCCAGGAAATAACTTACTGCCAAATGAAGTGAACTGTCTTGTCTATAAACTGACACTGTTGAATCAGCTCCATCGTTTCCTGATGCATTGCTTCCCACTGTCATTTGTTCGGTTATTTCAGTCCTGTTTGAGCTGATGGAGGTACCAGACCTGGACAAAAACTCTGCAACTCGTTTCCCACGTATAAAGGATCCTTGATAACTGGATAGTGTTCTTAATTTTTTAAAAGAAAGATCTTCTGTGTCAGTCTGGCTACGTTGGTAGCATTCTCGCCTCTGAGATAGAATTGCCTAGTTCAAGTGACGCATGTTCAAGGGACGCGAGTTCAAGTCCCATGTCAGGACTTAATATAATTAAAGCATGTTCTTTTCAGATCTGGTTTTTAGGCTAATGCTCCAATACAGTGTTTGCTGTATCGCTAGACTTGCCGTCCTTCAGGTGAGACGTCTCGTGCCTTTCTGCCTGTTCAGCTGGACATTAATAATAATA